AATCAAGATAGCCCATTACAGACAGTTTGACAAGAGGTGTGAGAATATTCTATGCATCTGATGAAGTGAGCTGTAGCCCACGAAAGTTTATGCTCAAATAAATGTTAGACTCTAAGGCGCCACAAGTACTCCTGTTCTTTTTGCGGATACAGACTAATACGGCTGCTACTCTGAAACCTTTATTATTATTAAAATTTATTCCTTCCACGCTGCTGAGATCCTTCAATATTGTTCTATGACCAGTACAGATAAACAGTTGTGACTAAATCCATCCAGTCCAGCAGATGCTTAGGAACAAAGCCACCAAATGCCTGTGCTGACATTACCTTCAAAATCTTTTAACTACTCTAAAAACAAATGTGATACAATGAAAATAATTCTTTTGATAAGTTGGAATTTGAATTTCTGCACCAGTTTTGATTTGTGTGTTAGAACTTACTGAGCTGATTGAAGCTACTAAGATTATGGGAAAGTTTACAAAAAGGTCACAGTATATGCTACTGTTTTGGCCACTTCCATGTAAGCAAACATTAACCTTAGGTCTGCTAAGAAAAGAAAAGATGCGGCACAAAGCTTATTCCTGTCTATGCGGATTTTATTTTGAAAATGTTGGCCATCTACAGCCACCTAAAATAAAATGTGTTACTTTGCAATTTAACATTTCTTATTACCAGGTCTGTTTTTCTAAATTATCTTCTGGTACCTTGTAAGAATATGCGCACAATGCCAGCTTGCAGAAACAGCAGGCTCAAGGTAAGCCCTGGTCTGTTGGGTTCTAGATCACTGAACGCTAACTACATTTGTGAATATCTGGTCAACCAGCCTGCTGACAGTAACAGCACTTCATATCTGGCTTTCCGCCTTACAATAAGCCCCACATGTCCCAAAAGCTAGATGCAAAGAAAAACCAGCTAAAGAGCAGAGGCAGTGGAAAAAAAACTAACCAGAATATTAGTTTCAACTGCAACCATTCCACATGCAAGGGCTACAGAGATTTGAGACCGTGAAACAGACAAGCATTAGGAAAGGGTTACAAAATTTGGGTCATTTCGTCTGAGCATTCCTCTCACAAACACTTTTGTCTAATTTCTATTATTCCCTTTCCCTACCCCCAAAAACAAAACAAAAAATCTTAAGCTGGCACAAGATCACGCCCATGAAACTTCAAGTTGATAGGACAAAAATCAGGGGAAGTTAAAAATCAGATCAAAGCTGGTTTGAACTAAGGGCAGACCAATGTCTCTCCATGATAGGACCCAATGGTAGTATCTTCAGAATCTACAGTAGTGAGTTTTAAAATGCTTGACTGATGGAAATAAACTTGTTACACAAAGCTAAGGCACATGTCCTGTTTGTACACAGAATAGTTCACTTTTATAACAAGGTACAGAACATCTTTTCACTGAAAAAGCTGTATAGGCAGGTTTGCAGAGCCGCCATTTCACCACTGCCCAACAGTTGAACTAAAATGACAATGCAAAAGAAAGTTGAGCTGGACAAGCCTGCACATGCTACCCTTTGGCTGTAGAATAATTGATCACCATTCTCTCTGTAACAGCCCCAACCTATTTTAAGACTATCAGGTTCCTCTTCTCCCTCACCCTTTTCTTTTCTCAAGACTAAAACTACTCACAGTATTTTCACCTGTCCTCATAAGGTCATGTTTTTAAAACCCATTATTATTTTGGAGGGTCTCTCCAGTCTGTCCACATCTTTCCTAAAGTGTGGCGCCCAAAACTGGATACAATACTCCAGCTGAGGCTTCATCGGTGCCAAATAGAACAGGACAATAACCTCCATGTCTTACTTATGAAATCCCTGGTAATATACCCACAATACTCCTTTGCATTTGTGTATAGACATCTCAGATGTTGAGCAGATTCCCACTGTATTGTCCCCCTCTTCTTGTTCCTATGTCCCTATTATAATTTACCATTCTTCTCTCTCCTGCCCACAACTTCTAGCCCTTTGTCAAGGTCACTGTTTTGACAACTACAACCAAGAGTAGGATTGTTACCCAGGAGCTAGTGTTGCAGATTAATAAATCTGCCTTTGAAGAGCTGCATTGTCAGTTCTTGAATTTGACACTTGAAGAGATTTCCTACATCAGTTTACAAGTGATATGAAAAAAAAAAACTGCATGGCCAGCATATTATTTTTCAATTAGTTACATAAGAACGGCCGTACTGGGTCAGACCAAAGGTCCATCTAGCCCAGTATCCTGTCTACCGACAGTGGCCAATGCCAGGTGCCCCAGAGGGAGTGAACCTAACAGGTAATGATCAAGTGATCTCTCTCCTGCCATCCATTTCCACCCTCTGACAAACAGAGTCTAGTGACACCATTCCTTACCTATCATGGCTAATAGCCATTAATGGACTTAAAGTTAAAACTTTATTTGCAAAAAGTTCTTTCAGACATCTGACTCTTCCTCACGGAGGGCTAAGTCCATGACAGATTTGAAGTTTAAAATTTGCGAGTAACTGAAAATAGGATGAATGAAAGTTCCTATTCCATCACAATTGTTGTAGGAAATGCCGAATTTTTAAGGAGTTCATAGTTGGAGTGGTAATACGTACAATAATTAAATATTGTATGGTCTTCATAAAAGGGTGACAGGTGCCATGCTAGCATCAGGCAGTAGTTTCAAATTGCCTCAAACAATCCCACATGTAATATCTCTTCAGAATATACACCTGAACATAGTTTCTAATTCTTATACAGTGCCAACCAGTAAGGGGATGTTCTTTTCCTTGGCTCATTTCCTAAAAGAAGGCTTGATCTGCCAAGGAACCCTGTAATGCTCCAAAATGCCATATGTTTGTGAAAAAAATTGTAGTACTGTGCTTCCAGTGCCTTGATACATTAGCTGTCCTTCCACTGACCCTGAGATATGACATAAATATTTTATAGTGTGTGCTATATAATGCAACCAAAAATGACAGCTCCTAACGGGGGACAACAAGAGACAGAAGAACACAGTGGTAGGGTGTGTGCTTAGTACTATAAAGAGGAACAGCATCAGCTTTTTTCCCCTTTCCTGTATAAAATTTCAATTAAGTGTGAGGACTCTTGTAAATAATTTATATAAATCTGATATGTGCATCATAGCTGCACATACCCACCTTCAAAAGAAGTGCCCATTGTTTTATGACAGTGGAGAAGCAGGATCTATTCACTATACTGAATTGAAGAGAAACCAGCCTCTATTTTCTATTCAAATAGGTTACCAAGGGAGGTTGTGGAATCCCTGTCATTGGAGGTTTTTAATAACAGGTTAGACCAGGGGTAGGCAACCTATGGCACGCGTGACGAAGGCGGCGCGCAAGCTGATTTTCAGTGGCACTCACACTGCCCAGGTCCTGGCCACCAGTCTGGGGGGCTCTGCATTTTAAATTTAAATGAAGCTTCTTAAACATTTTAAAAACCTTATTTACTTTACATATAACAATAGTTTAGTTATATATTATAGACTTATAGAAAGAGACCTTCTAAAACGTTGAAATGTATTACTGGTATGTGAAACCTTAAATTAGAGTGAATAAATGAAGACTTGGCACACCACTTCTGAAAGGTTGCCGACCCCTGGGTTAGACGAATACCTGTCAAGGATGTTGTAGGTATCCCTTCAATTACAGGAGAACCTCTCAAGGTTTCTTCCAGCCCTACATTTTTATGATTCTATACGTTTTCAGCTACTTCATACGTTTCTCCACAGATTATCAAATCTGGCACAGAATACTTTGTAAAAACGTGAAGATTCAAGGTTACAAACATAGTGCCCATTAAAGGTAACGATGAAATCGCAAGTCATAACCTTGCTTTTTCAATTAATATTTTCAAATTCCTTTTGGCCTGAAATTTTCTGTAACGTGTCTTAAATCAGCTTTGATATCATTACCTAAAACCAATACAGTACATAACCTCAAATATGGCAGAGCGAAACAGACCGTTTGGGAGGTCCAGAGAAGTCTTTTATTTATTTTTATTTTTATTTAAGTCTTCTGGCCACTATCTCACTTATGTACTCGTTCTAATTACACTATCAAATATTTCATCACCTTTCATACTACAATTAATTTTATTCAAACCAACATGACACTTTTAGCCCACCGTAGCAAAAGAACAAGGTCAAGCACTTAACTCCAAAAGATCCAATAAGAACAGCATGCTGGGAATTAACTCTTAATAAAACCTTACCTGGAGGTGGGTGCACAGGAGGTATTGGTGGATGAGATGTCTCAATTTTAGGAATTTTAGATGGTGGTGGTTCTGAAAAAACAAATTTGGAAGCCCCCCCATCAACAAAAATGTAAGTTTAGTTATGGCTCCATCAGCATATTAAGACCGGAAATCCAGAATGGGTTTTGGGAAAAGGATTCTTTTATTATGTTTCTACTGTGCTATGTAAAGTGGGGCTCCGACTTGTTTGGAGACTGTAGGCATTACCACAGTATGAAATTTAAATAATCTAACTGAAATCCAGCATCACACGTTAGTTTATTATTAGGGTCTATCCACAACTTTTAACCATGAGACATGGTTACTTTACTACAGAGCTGGAAAAAGAAAGATCTGGCCAAACTTGTTACATAGGCACAGTTGGGGTATACAGCAAAATAACTTTTACAAAGTGGATACTGGAAGACAATCATGTGTTGGCCTAACTCTCTGACAAAAGAAAAACGTGGTTAACAGCCAAAGTTAACAAGAATTAACTATGTTATGTTTGGGTACAGACTGTAAGCCATGCCAGTAATTGGCTACTCACTTAAGTTATAATGGAGATGGAGCTTTTATAATAGTAATTTTTAGTTCTACTGAGCAGCCTATTTGTACAAGCATAAAGGGACTATGCTTTCGGAACAATTATACCGTACTAACACAGATAAACAAGAACACAAACTTTTTTTTTTTAATTGGAAGGTCTATATTTAAGCCTGCATAATCAAGACCAAACAAACAGGTAATTTCTAGACCTAGAAAGAAACTAACCAAGCAATTTTAGAAGGTGCAGTGAATTAGTTATTCTGGCAAACAGTTTTGCTTATTAAAAAAGTGAAAGATATAATATATATTTAAAAAAATACAATATCTACCTGATGCCTTGGTTTCTTCTTTGGGAGATACAGCCTATTAGTCAAAAAAACAAAATTCACATCAATCTCCAGAACTATACATTATAAAATCTGAATAATTCAAAAATAAATATGTAATTAGCAAAAACATACTGTTAATACTAATAGGATGCAGTTTATTAAGGCCTGGTACACCTCTACCTTGATATAATGCTGTCCTTGGGAGCCAAAAAAACCTTACCGCATTATAGGTGAAACTGTTATATCGAACTTGCTTTAATCCACTGGTGTGCGCAGCCCCCCCCCGAGCACTGCTTTACTGCGTTATAGCCGAATTCGTGTTATATCGGGTCACGTTATACCGGGGTAGAAGTGTATATGCACAGGTTTTGCATCAATTTAACTAAATCTGTTTCCAATTTGAGTGCGAGAACTGTGGTCTAGACAAGCCCTAAACCTTTTTTTTTTTTTTTTTTAAACTAAAAGGCCTGTGATGTTCCACACAAACAAAGAGCATTGAATCAGGCAATATGAAGTGGGTAATTTGATTTGGATAGGAGAGTTGATGGTTAAGAATGTGAGAGTGTGAAGAGTCTGAAAAATGTACCTACTGTGTGTGAACACAGAGCTGCCTTTGTAATTCTTGTTATTTAATATTCACAGCTTTTAATTTATTTATAATCTACTGAAGCAGCATCATGGTCCAGTGGACAGAGTGCTGACTGGGAAGTTGCGTGACGTGGGCTCTATTTCTGGCTCTGCCTCTGACCTGTTGTGTGAACTTTGGCAAGTCATTTCATCTCTTTATACCTCAGTAACCCAGTCAGTAGGATAATGAAAAAAATACTTCCCTTTGTAAAGCACTTTAAAATCTTCAGGTAGAAAACACTATGTAAAAGCCAAGTATTATCGTAACAGCACAGAACATGGGCGCACACTAAATTCAGAGTGAATGAGAAATGTTTTACAGATATGGGAGTGAGAAAATCAAATGTTTTCACTTTGACACGACTTTCTTTTGGAACATTCTATCACCAAAGTGGCTTGGCGTAGAAACTGCAAATTTATTTTCATTTGTCTGAATTCCTTTAAGTTCTATAAACTTTCTTGCAGACTAAAGTATACACTTGTAGGCTTCCTACCTAACCTGCACCAGCCACCTCAAGCCAATGTAGTTTAAGAAGTTCAGTAAATCTAACAGGAATTTAATGAGCACACAAGCTTATCAAGAAATTAAATTCCTTAGCAGAATCAGCCACGTTACAGAGCTCCTGTAAGATCCACCAAAACTCCTGCACTAAGACTTCACAAATGCAGACAACTGAAGTCTAACCTGAGCCATGCTGCTCTGTAAGTGGAAGTTTGCACTGTCTCCAAGATACGACCAGTGATATTCTGCTTTCTCTAACTCTGCAAACACATTTCCTCCCAATAACTGCGGGATCTTGCCCAAAGAATTTAACTTGACTAATGTCATTAAGTAAACACTGCAATTTCTTTGGAATTGAAACTAAATTAAATTCTTTCCTACAGCTTACTTTAGGGGTAAATAATTCTATAATCTCATAAAAATGTTGTCTCTAGAGATATGTGTAATAGTGTCAATACAGATATTATATAACTATTTTTGGAGTTCTAGGGTAACTAAACAGCTGTGACCAAAATGCACAGAATTCACGATTATTTAATCGCTAAAGATCATCTTGTAAAAAATTTTAAATGAGGTCCATGAATTAGAGGCAGTCTGGGGAAAACAGAATACAAATTTATAAGTGCAATGAACCGTATGAACTGTAACAAAACTATACCATATTTGCTAGCAGTAACTTCTTACTTTCCTGAGCCCCAATTGCTAGGGCTGTTAACTGTTCTGTCAGTGTATCCAGAATTTCAAGGTGGTTTTCTTATTATTTTGACAAGAATGTGCCAATGAGGACACAGGACTGACTGTTATTTCAGCAAAAGCAGGTATATGTTAGAAGAGCTCCAATTTAGGTCTCAAGACAAGGCTGTACACGTGTACACTATAATTTGCACTGCTTTATTTAAATTCTTTGCTATCCTTCATTCTAGTAACTGAAGTAATATTCCAGAGCCCACTTCAACTTCTACCTTTTCTCCAAAGATTTCAGTGTTTTCCTGTATATGCCTTTCCTTGTAATACAAGATTTGTCCAGTCATGAGCAATGTATAAATACACCAGCCATATCCAAAAGCTTCAGTGAGTGACTATGAAGCCTCAAATTTTCATAGCTGTGTATAATTTTAACTAGCTAGTCCATGACATTTATTTTGAATGTGTTCTAACTGCAGGTCTGCAAATCAAATTATAATTGCACGCACAATTACTGAAAAGAGCACTCATTTTTGTTTACTTTCATGATTGAGTGGAGTAAACAATTTTACAATGGTAACGTCTCCCCACGTTTAAATGATCCTGTAAAGCTTAGATATGTGAATTAAAAAATGAATAATACCAATGGTTAAGTACAGGCACAGTGTAAGTTCATAAGCATACAGGATGTGTATCATTGTTTTCTTTACTACTTGCTGATTCTTTCAAAGTTATTTATTCCCCACGAAGTTTCACCAGTTTTGAGCGAGACTGGTTCAAAACCATTTTTGTTTAATTATTACATATTCAAAAGCATGAACATGCAAACCAGAACAGGTCAATCTGAAATGGAGCATTTTTAAATTGGGTCAATCTGAAAGCAAGTAAGTTTAGACAAATATAATGGAATTCTCAAAGGAGTTCATTTTTAACTTCCCTTTGATTATATGCAGTGGATCCCCTGGTAGGGATCAATTGGATATAATCAAAAGGAAGTTACCTACAAGCTTCTTAAAAGGGCTCTTTATTTCCAGTGCCCTAACTTCCTCCGCTTATCACTCGATTCCCTCCAACTTTCATCCTCTCCACTCCACCAGAACTGATCAATCAAAAAAGTCACTAATGACACCTTCCTCTCCAAATCTAAGAGCCTGTGCTCCATTCTAATTCTCTTCAATGTGTCGGCTGCTGCTGATACACACTACCCTTTTCTTCTGGAGGCCATCTCTTCCTGGGGTCCCTGACTCATTTCCTGGTTCACTTCCTGCCTTATTTACCCACTCTTTCACTGTTGCCTTCATTGGATCCTTGGTCCTGCTTCTTCTCTCTCGCTTTTGTGTTCTCAAATCTTCCACCACTAAGTATTTCTCCTCCCTGGGGTAACTTCACCTACTCCAACTGTCTCATATTTCACATCTACCTCTCTAACCACGACCTCTGTTCAGGCTCAAACCTCTTCCTGCCTCTCCCATACTTCCCAATTGATGTCCTAATGCTATTCAAACTAAACAGGGCAAAAATGAGCATCCCAACTTTCCTCCTGAAACTTCTCCCCCTCATCCCCTTTCCTCTTTGATAATTCCACAACAGTCTATTACTGAAGCTGGCAGCAAACTTAGGGTTTACTTTGACTCCTGCCCAGCATTACCAGCTCTTGTGGTTTTATCACAAGACCCCTAAACCTGATGTTTCCTAAAGCCTCAGCTCCTGAGGTAATACAAATGTGAGAATCTGTTTTTGGGGAGGGTTTTTTTAAGCCCTCATGCTTGGGGAGCAAAGCTTGCTTGTTTTGTCACTCTGTCTCCCTCATCCCCGCAAGTATTTAGGAGTTGCAGTGGCAATTAGCGGACCTCTGCTATGCTTTGACAAAAAGCTTGCCATATAGATATTCCTCTATTTCCCTTATGTTACTGAATTTCTCTTTAAGAAGGAATCATATACTGGTTGTAGAAGACAGGTCACTACCCCTTCGCTTTAGGGGTTTAGAGCAGTGGTTCTCAACCTTTTGGACTACTGTACCCCTTTCAGGAGTCTGATTTGTCTTGCATACTCCAAGTTTCATCTCAGGCTTTGACTTCAGCCCTGCACAGCAGGACATGGGCTTTCAGCCCTGGGCCCCAGTGAGTCTAACACTGGCCCTGGCAACCCCATTAAAACGAACTTGCTCACAGTTTGAGAACCGCTGATATAATATATAGAACAGATGTAATATATAGAACACTGTCTGTATGAAATTTTGTACTGTTTGTACTGACTTTGCCAGTGCTTTTAAAACCAGGCAAATATCTAGATGAGTTTATATATTCCCTAGAAGGCCTCCACGTACCCCTAGTTGAGAATCACTGGTTTAGAGCAAATGAAATTAATGTCTGGCATCCTGCCACAGTTGCCAAAATGTCTGAATGATTAATATGTGAAATTATAAACATATAAATTATAAGGGAAACCACCTAACACTAGTTTAACACAAATTCTTTTATTAAATCCAAAGGCCAAAGGGTATTTATACAATTGCTCTAAAAATGCCTAAAAAGCCTAACTAATAAGCAATTTACTACATCCAACCAGTACCAAAACATTTATAAGCATTTGATCAAGATGCTTACAAATGGGCTAGGCCCAGGGGTGCTTAGACCCATACTGATTGGCTCCAGGATGGTCAGACAGGTATTAGTAATGAACCCCTTTAAGAGTTTACTTATTATACCCATAACCAACAAGTGATGTCATTGCTTGCTGACTTCAGCTATAAATCAACTTGAGACAATTGACCCTTAGTTCCAGTCTTAATCCTCCTAAGATTTACAGCCCCCTTTCTTCCCTTATTTTCTCCCCCAATCCTTGCTTACCAGCAGAACAGTGGGAAGGTCTGGGCTTGTTTCTTTTATGACAGTTTTTCTTTGTCTTGTTACTGCCGCTCTTTATTTTATTAGTTACTTTTGAAGCCATACATCCTTCCCATACTACTTATTCTCATGACCTTCTTTTACTTGCTGATTGGGGCCCTCTTTACAACACACAGTATATCCTTAACCAAACTTAAGCTAACTTTAATTCTTTAATTTACTCTTATCCTACACCCTATGTCTGTTATAACATCCCTCTGTGTGGCAATTATCCTCACTATCCTCTCCAAACCTTGTCTGAAAAATTTACTTTTGCCTTGCTTTCCACTGGTTATCTACGCCTGTGCAGTCTAATTCCTCCACTTTGCCCTACTTCAGTCTGTGTTTAGGTATCAGAACTTATGATTTTCTTACTCTGTAATGACTTATTTGCCTTACTTCACATCCCTCCTTTCCCTTGGCTAGCCTCATTTCTGTTTAATTTAGATGGGACACATTTTGGGGCAGGAAGCAGGACTCTCAATCTCTATGAAGCTTCATGCCAAGTTATAACACAACCTACATTGTTAATAAACTGTGAAATCACTAGTTTTCCATCACACATATGCAAAGCAGCAATAATTCCACTTTACCAGGGTAGATAGTTTTATTCTGCATTTTAATACCCAACAGATCAAGCAGCTTTAACTGATGCCAAATGATGAACCCACGTTTTAAATTCTTTATTAGCACTAAAGTGGCACACAAAATGAAAAGTTCTTCCCTACATGTGAAATCAAAGAAGCCATTTTAAATCTGAAGTGACTCCCCCTTGACATTCACGGAGAGGACTTCTGAAATTGTTTGCTCTAATTAGTCAAATGATCACTTCAAGCAGCGACCAAATTCCATTTTATTAGGTTACTCTGTATTTATTCACAAAGTCTAATCTTGCGAAAATAATTTCACCAAGACGCCCCCATCATCATGGAGTAAGTGAAAGCAGCTGATGGAGGAGACAGTTAACAAAATGGGTCAGACAAAATTTCACACAAATAAGATCTGTGACTAGTTGTTTATGTAAAAGCAGTATGTACATGTCAAAAAAGCCTACCAAAGTGCTTTTTCCAGTCATGTCAGCAAGTGTAATCTTTTTCCTTCAGTAAATCCCTGAAAATCCTTTTAGCCATTCTTCCATGTAAGATATTGCCTCTTCTAGCAAAGGTTACTAAAATCTGTTTATGGAGATTTTTTTTTAATTGACTATTTACTTGTGTTGCTGACCAATATCCCAAGTTCCACAGTAATATTTTTTTTCCTAGTACAGTACTTGAAGTTTGAGAAGAGTTCATCGGCAGTTCTAAATGAGGCAATCCTGCAACATACAGTAGAACCTCAGAGTTATGAACTGACCAGTCACCACACACCTCATTTGGAACTGGAAGTACAGTACGGTACTGCATTAAACAACTAAAAATAAAAAAAGATTTGACAAGGTAAGGAAATTTTCTGTGCCTTTTTCATTTAAATTAATATGTTTAAAAGAATCTTTTTTCTTCTGCATACTAAAGTTTCCAAGCTGTATTAAGCCACTGTTCAGTTGTAAACTTTTGAAAGAACCACCATAACCTTTTGTTCAGAGTTATGAACTGACCAGTCACCACACACCTCATTTGGAACTGGAAGTAC